TTGATCATCCACCCATGTTTGGGGCAAATTCTATACATACATACCAGCATTGTATGCACCAGAAGACTCAGCCTTTCACAAAAAGAGGAAGTTTTTACTTAATACAAGTATCTCTTTCTTCTCATGGTTGGGTCATGTTTGAGAGAGAGAGTGAGGTGGGGAAACTTTTTGACCGGTACCCCTAGGTTCGAGGTAAATCTTCTCTATCTTCTTTTCCTTTTCTTCTTCTCTCTCTATTCTTGCCTCTCTTCTCTCTCTTCTCCGTCTAAGTTCCTCGCAGAGGTCACACGGCAGTGGCAGTGCTGTGCATGCCTTCCCTGAGGTCGCACAGGTCACGCATGGAGTCTCCTTCTCCTTCTTTTCTTCTATCTCTTTCATCCAGTGGGGCCTATAGATGGCGCTGCCCATCACTATCCACAGACATAGCTTGGACGTCTTAATGAAGAATCCAGACAGTGAAACCTGTTGCCGCACGTAGGGGTCCTTCTCTGTTGCGTGCCTATAGCAGAAGGCGATACCCATCGCCGCCGCTATAGGTCGTGTGTTCGGTGTTCAGTACCATCCTTCCTGCATCTCACGCCTATCGTCGTGCGCCTCGCGAGGATTACCGTCGTGCGCTTCACGAATGACCATCGTCGCGCAGTTCATCAGAAACTATCGCCACCCATGCGAGGGCATGTTGTTTTCTTATGTTGCAAACGACAATGCCTAGCATCGTCTATAATTCATTCCTCACTCTCTAGCCATGAGCAATACTGTAGAGCGCCGCCAAAGGGCCAGACACTACTACCCCACGGTCACGAATGGCAACGTCTAACTTCATCGAGACCTCATCTCTCTGTCATCTCCTCTCTTCTTTTCATTCTCTTGTCTCTTCTTGCTTGATTGAGGGTAGACTTAGCCTAACACTGCCATAACGGTCTCGGTTTCGAGTAGTATTGCCGTCGTGCTGGTCTTGAGAACCATGCCCATCTTACTACCACTCTGAGTCGATAACTTCTCGGCTATCATGCTAGTCTCGCCTCTCGGCTATCATGCTAGTCTCGCCTCTTCGTCAAGTTTTTTTCTCTTTTCTATCTTTATTTAAACCTTATGCTTCATCACCCTCTCGCATGAGCGTACGTTACCCTAAGACAAGGGTGGGTCTCTTTGACCCACTTGTCTTGCAAATTAACCATAAAAGAGTTGTGTAGAAAACAAGAGGATTGCAAGTCAAGGGAGGCAATTCTGGACCAGCAGGTCAAGGGTGCTTTTCCTTGTCTCCTGTAATATCTCTTAGGAGAGGTTATGCTGAGAGGCTACTCAATTTTATTTAGGTCATCCTTTTACTTCTTTTACTTCATTTTTTTTTGTTCACCTTCTTCTTCTTCTCACTTCTAAACCAAGTCCTTATCAACTCATTCTTATTCTCTTCTTTCCTTTCTTTCTTACCTACTTCTCCTACCACTCTACCCCAAAAACTAGAGTCATTAACCCATAAAGCACATCAAAGAGGAGTTTACTTTAAGTGGATTTCATTAGTAGTTTTTCAATGAGCGTCCAGGTGAGATGTTGAGTTTAGAGAGGGGGTCGAATTCAAACCCCAATGCTGGACAACTAGAGGGCTTTCATTCATTGATCTAAGAGGGTAGCAGCCTGGGCGTATCCCATGAACTCAACCACAGTGAGGTAGGTGTTCGAGTCCACCTCTTCATCATTTAAAAATCCTCCCATAGTTGGACACACCTATCCGCATGTGACACACGAGACACATACATGCTCATGAGGTCAAGCGGTTGTTCGAGACGAGCTCAATCGAACTCAAGTCCCTGAGGCAGCTCGAGCGAGGTAGATCCAAGCCGGACCAATTGTAACATTGAAGCTTATAAGAGCTTTTCTTTTTTTTTTAATCATATTATATCGAAGTGTTTTCTAATATTTTTTAATCATGTTTAATTATAATATTAAAATTAATAATTGTGATAATCAAATTTTGTATTTTATTTATTAATTTATTTATATTATAAATTATATAATTTATTATTTTTTGTTATAGTTGCAAATAATGGTTTTTTTAATTAGATGATATTTTAAGACATATTTTAAATTTATTCTTATTTTTATGGTAAATAATTATAAAATAAAATCAATAATTCTAATTTCAAATGTATAATATTATAGTTAGTTAGATTGTGATAATTTTGGACGAGTAGATAGAATTAATAAATGTTTGATGTGATACTTTCACTTTGTATGAGAAACTATTTTTTAATCTTATAATATGGACGTTTTTTTTAATATTTTTAAATTATCTTGATGCAACATTAGACTACTATATTATAATTAATAATTATACATACATCCAAATAAGGAAACAACATCTCAATATTCATATTTTTTTTCAAATAATAAAACTACATAATGCACCACTCCTAATTTCTTTTAGAAACTAAAAGAACACTATTTTTAGAAATTTATAGTGATTTTTTTAAAAAATGGATATGTCAATTCTCCAATCTGACCGCCGACCCACCGAGCCGACACGGTGTTTGGAGTGGACGATCCGGGATGCCAATCCATTTGTTTAAACCTTGGTTGCAACTTTATACAAATCACACCCTTGTATACAATCCCAAAAATAAATCATTTATGATGAGTAATCTAACCGTACTAGTTGTAACGAGCACATCCAAACAAGTCATTCATTTGTACCTCTATATCCTTCATCTAATGTAATTGGATTGGAAGACATTGAGATGCCTCTTCCTCCTTTTGATCTGCCCAAGTCAATGCTTAGAGCCCACCTACACATAGTGTTAAGAAATATGGTTTCAATACTGAAAATCTTTGTGATAGACTTAAATATATTTTTATTTTTAATTATAAAATTTAAAGCTACAAAATAATATAGATCAAGTAGATTTATGAAAACTTGAAAATCGACTGTTCAAAAATGCGTTACAAGCTGCACTATTTCTAAGTTTTGAATTCTATATTTTTTCTCATGTCTATGCATTTTGATGTTGAGATGATCAATTTAAAGATATTTGGGCATCAAAACAACCTCTTCTAATGAAATTTTTGAGGTGGTATCTAATTTGATTGTTTAGAGACTCGTTTCTATATAAACTTTTTTCAAAAATAAATGGTCCCTTTAACTTTTAAAAAAAAAAGATGACAAATGATCTTTTTGTAGACAATCCCTTGTATAACATCTCTGCAGAAGCAGGATAAAAAAGTTGGGATGGGACGTAGGACAAAAAAGGAGTAACTAGTGAGTTGATGTTCTAAATGATGCTAAAAACTTAAATTTGTAGTGATTATTTAGAACATTTTTTCCATTTACTCCTGGATAAAACCCAATACCAGACCCCAAATTTTGGGTACAGATGTGTTCCTCATAAAATAATAATAAATGGTAACTCTCGCTTTTTTTTAATGGTTTGATGTAAGTATTTAAAAATCAAGATCTATTTTTTCTTAAAATAAATGTATGTTGATCTTATATTCCTCTCAAAATTTTATATAAGAGAAGGGTACGGTTTGGGTACAGCCAACTTACTAAAATATGTGTCTCAGACATTCTTATCCAAGACGGACGATAAAAAAAATGGTGCTTCCACAATACTTCAAAATAGATGGTGAATAATATATTAAAAACATTGATTTTTACCTTTCACAAACTAAAAATTTTAAATTTGGTGAATAATATATTAAAAACATTGATTTTTACCTTTCAAAAACTAAAAATTTTAAATTTTAAGGTTAACAAATACCAAAAATTTGGACCCAAAATGGATGTTAAAAATACATTTTAAAAAAGGCGGCACATCTACACATGCAAAACACTTTCCTTATTTAAAAAAATGGATGAGACTTGCCTTTATAAAAAAAAAAAAGAAAAGAAAGAAGCCTCACCTCAAATCCTTGCCCGAAAAACACTTTCGGCAATAGAAATCTATATGATGGCTCTAAAATCAATTTTCAACGCCAACAATGAAATTTGAAATTAAAAAAAAGATATAGATCTTGTGGATCTATTTAAGACAAAATGGACAGTGTAGATAATTAATTACAATAACATTATTTTTAGAGATTGAAATACTATTTTTTTTCACAATTATAATTTTCAAGCCAAGATGATTGACATAAAGATTTTGAATTGTAATTTTTCACGAATTATTAAGTAAGGTTTTACTTATTTTGATAGAGCTGACCCCTATCAAACCACTTTCCAAAAAAAAAAAAATGCCTGTACCTCTTTTGTGCAAAGAGTAAGCTTGGACGAAACTCCTCTTTTACTTGTGCATTTTTAATTTCCACACTCCAACCTATACACTTCAAAATAAGTAAAACGATGAGCCAAGAAAAATGGTAAAAGGGTGCATTTTGTATAGAGCCGAAGCTTCGAAAAATAAACCGCACCTTCAAATAGTATCGAGAAATATAGTTTCAATATTGAAAATCTTTGTGATAACCTTAAAATATATTCTCATTTTTAATTATAAAATTTAAAGCTTTTAAAAATATTATAGATCGAGCATATCTATGAAAACTTGAAAATAGCGTCCAAAAATGTGTTATAAGATGCGCTATTTCAAAAACTTAAGATCTATTATTTTCTCATATCCATGTATCTTGATGTCGAGATGATCAATTTGAAGATATTTGGCATCAAATCAACCTCTTGTAATGAAATTTGTAAGGTGGTCTCTGATTTGATTGTTTAAAGCCTTTGGTTCTATATTAAATTTTTTTATTAAAAAATTAAATAAAAAGATGAGCCAAGAAAAATAGTAAAAAATAAAAAAATGAGCTAGAAAGCCTTCTTGGTCTTTACCCCATCGCTGTGGTGTAGTGTAGTGAGTATTGCGTCCTTTCCCGGCGAAAGGAAGATCTTCTACTTTAAATACGGATTAAGGACAAAAGAGAACCCGACCCCACTATTTGTATGAGATTTTTCTACAAAGGAAAGGGCATTTCAGTCATCGGACTGCATAAATCCCATTCTCTTCGTCACTTCTGCGAGGAGTTGTGGAGCTTCTTAAGCGCAGAAGAGAGAGTGAGAGAGGGATCTCCCGGCCATTTGAGGTTGCAGAGTGATAGAGAGAGGAGAGAGAAAATAAAATATGGCAGCTTCATCGTCAAAGCTCCTTTCATCCCCCTCTTTTAGAGGAATAGGAAGAGAGAGAATTGCAGCATCGGCCTCAAATCTCCGCCCGTCTCCCTCTCTCTTAGTCAGAGGGAGAGAGAGAGTCTCACTCTCTGGTCAACTAGGAATCGGCTCATCAATCTTGAGGCACGGCAACCCTAGGACGCTTGCATCTTCACAGGTTAGGGCTTCCTTAGAGGCGAAGCCCACGGTTTTGGTGGCGGAGAAGCTGGGTGAAGCCGGTCTGGAGCTGTTGAGGAGCTTTGCAAATGTGGACTGCTCTTACAACCTGACGCAGGAGGAGCTGTGTACCAAGATCTCCCTGTGCGACGCGCTCATCGTGCGCAGTGGCACCAAGGTGACCAGGGAGGTCTTCGAGTCATCCAGGGGGAGGCTGCGGGTTGTAGGGAGGGCTGGTGTGGGGATCGATAATGTTGATTTGAGCGCCGCTACGGAGCATGGGTGCCTGGTCGTCAATGCTCCCAATGCCAACACTGTGGCGGCTGCTGAACATGGCATTGCTTTGGTTGCTGCTATGGCCCGTAACATTGCGCAAGCTGATGCCTCCATGAAATCTGGTACTCCTTTCTCTCTGTACTTAAAGTTTTACATGTTTAGCTTCTCTACAACAGCTACCACCATGTGTTCTTCCTGTTCTACTCACCCTACTGGAGATGAGCGATTTCTGTAGCACTTGAATCTGTTCTTCTTTGGATCTTAACTAGTCCGTATGCTAACCAAGAGTTTGATGTAGGTTCCCTTTCTTTATTTTGATTAGAGTACATTGAGCTACTATTAATTAGTTATAGATTCTTTTTTATAGTTTTTTGTTTTTTTTTTTCTTTTTATGAATCTTTTAGGATGCCTTTACTTTGGTTTGAGTAATGAGTACTAGTGTTTTATGTGGTGATCGCAGAATCTGATGATTGATATCTCCTTCTTTTTTATCCTTTTTTTCTTGGATTTTGGTTTATAAAATCTGACTGAGTCATTTGAAGATGAGTTGGAGAATTTTTTTCCATTGTTTATGTTAATCACATCTGCCTCTGCATGTAAAATTTGGTCATATTATGATGAATCTGCATTGTCTTTTATTGGAAGCTGAATTTAATTTGGATTTGTCCGGATCATTTAACGTTTGATTGGCTTGGATGATTTTCTGTTTCAGTCAGTGTTTTAAAACTCGGCTGAGTTACTCAGCTTTGGCATGCTGCCCAGGTGAGTTCAGATGGACAGGCTCGGGGTTCTAGAAAGCCTTACAGTACTCTGGTGTGCACTGTACAGATTCGCCTGGGTATTGTAGAACTTGGGCAAAGATGCCGGCGAGTCTGTACAGTGCTCACCTGAGTTATACACTGAAACTTAAAATAAAAGGGGTCGGGGAATCTGCCTCCCATTTCTCATTTTCGTTGAAGATTAGAGCCCCAAAACACTGCATTTTGATCCAAATTTTCAGTATAAGGAAGAAAGTCACTAGATCTACCTATAAAAGCCTTAGATTCGAGTGAAAAACATTAGATTTGTCTCAGTTTATTGATCAAAGAATTGGGCAATTTTTCCTGATTTTGAAAATCTTTGATTTCTTTTAATCTGATTGTTGATCTTCAATGAAAATCATACCCCTGGCCTAACTTTTTGTTCTTGACTGTCAACAAGCTCTTTTGTTTTGTTTTTAAAAGAAATCACCCACAAAAAAAAAAAATTATATTTTTGAATTTTCAACTTTTTTTATTTATTTATTAAGTTAAATTTCTTCAAAAAGGAAATTTTTTTATTTATTAAAAAATTACAAAGCTATATCTTAAATCTGAAGTCGAACTCAAACTTGTTTGGGGTTTTTGACTGAGGCTGGATAAGGAAGCTTTGGCAAAGATTTGGAGTCATGATTCATATTGATCACATGGATTGGGAAATGGGCCTAAAACTTTTGGCATGTTACATCTCAATTTGAATTCATAAATTGATTATTTTATTAATTTAATTGCAATTGGTGTATACTGTGTCATATATGATTATATGTTTATTCATACTTTTTATGGTTTATTCTCTTTTTTTTACTATGTTTGATTTTTTCCATAGTTTTCATTGTTTTACAGCACAATAACATCAATTTTTTTATTCGTGTTTCATATGCATTTTTTATTCAGTGTAATTTTTGGATTGTTTTTTTTATGTTTTTATTTTTTAATTTTTTTTGATGATCACCCTTTTGTTTTTTTCTTTTGTTTCATTTTTTTGTCCCCTTTGGGCTCGGTCAGGACGTAGGAGACTCGGACCAGCCCAAGTAACTCAACATTAGGCTTATTCTTGCTTTTGTTTGTTGCATAGTTGTCTTTATACTAGGAGTGTCCGTTTGTTTTTTTGGGCCCATACCGGGATTATCCTTTTATTGTAGGCTTTCCCTCATTTCGAGTGGAATTATTTGCCGTTTCTTATTGATTAATTGGCATTTTCTTTCATACTTGGGATAAGAATTTCATACATTTTAAGTATGCATGTTAAAAAGAGATTTAATCTGTGATAGAGAAAAATAACTTATTTAGTGTGCCAAGAAAATTAAGTGCATCCCTTACATGTTGCATACTAACTTAACACATCATCCCAAGAAAGCAACAAAGTGTCAGTATAAACACCAATCACTTAAGTCTTTGGTGTGCCGAAGAGAACTTTTTGAAGAAGTTTGGCTCATTGGACCAATGTTGTATGGATGTGGAGGCTGCCCTAGTTTTGAGCAATAGGTCGGCAGGCTGATTCAAGGAGGATGAATCCTACATTTCTTATGAACATCCCGCCAACCAAGTGGAGGGACGTGAACCAGTTTACAACTAGGAGGGAATCAACTGGGACCCATAACTGAATTTGGAGGTTCCTAGCCACTTTAATACTGGTGTGAATAGCTTTTATTTCTGCATTAGTCATGATAGTTTCAAACCAAAAATGACTTAAAGAGGTATGGTGTCTTCTTTTGGGTCCTGTACATATTGAATTTGTGGAGCTCTAAAAGCTGCCTTGGGGTTGCAAGTTTTAGTGTTCTCAGTGTCTCAATAGATGGGGAGAACTCAATTCGGGGGTGGTGAATCTAGCTCTAGCATCCTGGAACTGGAGCTCAAGAGGAGCTCAATCCCTATCTTATTAGGATCTCAATTCCTGAATAAAACGGATCTTGATTGCTTTTGAAGGGGATCGCGATTCCATTGAAAATGGGGGGTGATCATGTTTGAAGGGATCTCTATCCTTAGGGAAGCTTTAAATTCTCTATCCTTAGGGAAGCTTTAAATTATATTGCTCCGTCTTACCGTCGCTTGTGAAATTCCTCTTCTTCTCATACACTCATGGTGCTAGGCCTCTTTACACACGACAATGCTTCTTTCTCTTTTCTCTTCACGGTCGGTGCTTGCTCTTTCTTACTTTTATACAGCCGGTGCTGGGTCTCATACACAGCCGGCGTTGGGCTCATACACAGCCGGCACTACGTCTCTTACACATCCGGCGCTGGGTCCCTTACATAGCCGGCATTAGGCTCATACACAGCCGGCACTGGGCTTCCTTCTTTCTACTGCCTCGAGTGCCTTAGTCCAGAAAATTGTGGTCCTTACAATGGGGGTCCAAGCCGCTCAAGTTCTGGGCGCCTATCGCCTAGGCGAGCGCTTAGAACCTGGGCGGCCCAGGTTCTAGCCCTTGATAGAGGGACTCATGGTGTGACTCAAGGTATGGCCATAATCCCAGTTAAAAAAAAAGATAAAAGTCGAGAAGAGAATTTTGGTAATCCATATGACCATGTGCCACATTTTCATACAATGCTAAAACAGTAAAACCATACAAGCATACATTGTACACTGTAGACTGTACAGACAAAAGTTAGATAGTAGAACTACAAACAAGAAAGTAGAACTAGAAACTTAAAATAAGAAAAAGGAAATATATAAAAATTAAGAAAATATACAGTCTAGGACACAATAGTCAACACTCAACACAATAGTCAACAGTCAACAGTCAACACCAAGAGTCTTCATTCTTTTATCATCATCATCATCATCGGAAGGAATAGGGTAAGTTTCATCATATGCATCAGAATCGAGGCCATCATCATCAAAGTCATCTCCCTCTTCAATATAACGATCGTCCTCTTTTGTTTCTTCTGAATCTGCCTCTTCCTCCTCCTCTTCTTCTACCTCCCTCTTACTAGTATGTGCAGATGAGGCTCCAAGAGTCTTGGCTGCTTAACACTTTTCTATCTTTTTGTGCTTCTCTGAACTCAAATATTGTATAATTTCCTCCCTAGTAGTCTCAGAAACATTTTTACATGGGTAACATCCCCCTTAATACCGGCAATGTGTTTTTTAAACAAGTAAATGCCCCCATTAGTATCACTTCCACAATAATTACATCTAATACGATTTTTGTCATTCGGATTTGGGTTATAACCATACTTCTAACCTTGATCACCACTTCTTGAAGAACCTGGAGAAGATATTTCCACAGAAAAAGACTCATTTTCATCATGTTCTGGTTCTTTTAAATTCAAAAGTTGTCTAATCTCATCCCGAATAGCTTCAGGAACATTTTTACAAGAAGCAACATTCTCTTTAATACCGACAAGATGCTTCTTGAATCGGTTAATAACCCCATTGGTATCTATTTCACAAAAATTATACTTTATACAGTTTTTATCGTTTGGTTTTGGGTTATAACGATACTTCCAACTCGGATTACTTCTTCTAGAAGTAGCATAAATAGACCTATTCAAATGACAATGATTTTGTTCCTATTTTTGTTTTACAGAACTCATATATTGCTTAATCTCCTATCTGATTTCTTCAGGAACATTTTTACAAAGGGCAACATCCCCCTTAATACTGCCAAGATGTTTCTTAAACTGGTTTGTGTCCCATTTCATATCTTTTTCACATTGTCATTTGGATTCGGGTTATATCCATATTTCCAACTCGGATCTCCACTTCGATTGGATCTTGAAGAAGACATCTCAAAATAAAACAAGCAATCTAAAACATAAATTTTTGCTCTTACTTTGATTGGTC